AAGTAGGATTCGCGTTTGATCGGCTGACGTCTCATAAGGCGTATGCGTTGAGAACCCAGTAGTTCACCGCCAGAGTCCGAGAGCGGCAGTTGACCGAATACATGCGCAACAAATAAATTTAAATTAAAAACTACTTTCCTGCTTCAAACGGTTCCTCTTGGCCTCCGAAGGGCTATGACTGCTGCGGTGGACGACTCTGCGAAAAATACAAAAAGGAAAAATTAAAATTAAACGCGCTATAAACAAAACCAAAACATTAATACATGCCACTATTGCGAGTTGTCTCCGTAAAAAATCTCTGCTGCACCTGCACAATAATAAATATAAATTAAAACATTTATGGAATAAATCAAATTAAAGCCACTTACCTGCCCCAAATGGTATCTTGGCTCTGACAAGCAGGAGGATGACTCGCGATGGAAATCTGCAAAAAATACAAATTTTATAAGTAAATGCGCAATAAATAAAATCAAAAACATAAACACATAAACACATCCGTCAACAAACATCCGCTGCGACTACCTCAACTTACCTGACACAAACGCATTGCGGATCCGGCCAAATTTGACTGCTGAGAGAAACACAGAAACAAAACAAAACAAAAGTACACTCACCCGACCCAAGTTACTGCGGGAAAAGAAAGCACGCCTAAATTATTACCACCAATGTTTACATTAAATAACAGTGTGACCCTCAACCTTAAATCCCAAATGTAACCCAAAATATACTAACACATAATCTAGCTTTAAGCTTAAATATAGCTAAAAAAAAAAAATAGACATAATACACTAACACATAAAAATGCAATGTACATACTATTTCCCGCCATTTAATGTACCTAAATATTACAATACTCAGAGGGCAATAAATATAACGACCAGGGAATTCTGATCAACAGTCTTCTCCTGAGTGTCGTTGAGTAAAATTGAAAAAAATCTGGCACTACTCAATAGCTGTTTGGGGATCCTTAATATCAGAAACAAGCGCCAAACAAATTCAAACGGTGGAGAATAAGCTAATAAGGAAATCTATTGGTGCATCTAGGTACACAAAACAATCCACTATCAGAGAAATACATAACATCAAATCTTTCTCAGAAGTCTTTGCTCATTCTAGCCAAAGGTTTGCGATTTCAACAACAACCCACAGAAATCCACTTATACGAGATCTCATCCTAAAACCGTATATCCCCAAAAGGCTAGCGGCGAGCAGATCCAGATACCTAGATCAATACCAAAAATACCTGCTTCCAGCTAGAGCAAATATCCCTGAACCACCAATAGAGCCCACCTACAATAGCACATACGGTTACACGGAAAGTGAGGAAAAACAAATACAGAATAAATTAAGGGAAAAATTTAGAAAAAGTCTTCCTACATTACTGCGACTAACAGACGAGAGAGAGGAACAGGAAGAAAACGAAAAGGAGATTAAAAAGAAAAACGAGAGAAAAAAGGCATTAAAAACTAAACCCCCAGAGAGATGGTGTGAATTACTTATCAACAAATATAATAAACTTTTTAGAGAGGGAAGAATTACACGAGAAGAACTACTTGACAAAATGGAAGGACAACCTCACGGCATCATAAGGATAATAATACCTGACTTCCAAACCCACTTAGGACAAGAAACCCTATACTACCCAACTAATTAAAAAAATACAATAAAAAGATGAAAGGGGTCAAAATTAAACCCAAAAATGGGCCCATCAATAGATTACCAGTTATCCACAAACACCTGCTCCTGTCCTGGACGACTCCAAACTGTCCTGCGTTCTCCTGGAGGACTTGAACTGCCTTCCCGAGCCATGTACTGCTCGTGTAAAATTCACAAAGGGATCCTGCTCACACAAACGCGCCCGGCTGGACATGACTGCGAGGGGAAACAAGCCTGGACTCCTGCCCGGCTTCGGGTACATGACTGCGGCGAGGGACACACCTGCAAAAATAAAAACAATAACATAATTAGAAACACACTCACAATAAATAAAGCCAAAATAAAATACACCTCCTACACCAACCACACCTTGACTGCGGCGAGGGAGATCCACACAGACACATTATTGGAACGCATTTGGACTCCTACCCGGCTTCGGGTGCACACGACTGCGGCGAGGGATTCACCTGCAAAAAACAAAATAACAACATAATTAAAAACATACCCGCAATAAACAAAACCAAACACACACTTCCTACCCCAACCACACCTTGACTGCGGCGAGGGAATCCCACACAGATACATTATTGGAACCCATTTGGGCTCCTGACCGGCTTCGGGTGCACACGACTGCGGCGAGGGATACACCTGCAAAAAAACAAAATTAAAAACACACTCACAATAAACAAAGCCAAAACAAAACACACTTCCTACCCCAACCACACCTTGACTGCGGCGAGGGAATTCCACACGACTGCGGCGAGGGATAAGCCTGAAAAACAAAGTCAAAACACCAGAACCACGCCTCGGCTTGCCAGGGTCCCGGTAAACACGACTGCGGCGAGGGATACGTCTACAAAAAAATAAAAATACACAAGCGCAATTAATAATCTAATATAATCTTAAAAGCTACTTACCTGCTTTAAATGATTTTTGGCCTACAAACTCTGACTGCTGCGATGGATGAATCTGCTAAAAATTAAAATAAAAACAAAAATCAACAAAAGCTAAATGCGCATTAAATAAAAATTATACTATAAACTTATCTGACTCAAATATGATCCAGTAACAATAAAAAAATCTTCCGCTGCGCCTGTGATATAATAAAAAATTAAAATGATTAACATATACACAATTAAAAAATTTAGACCAAAAGCTACTTACCAGCCTTAAAGGGCTTTTTGGCATCTGAAAATCCGTGACTGCTTCCATGGACAAATCTACGAGAAATAAAAATTAAAAACTCTTTAAAACTAGATGCACAATAAACATAATTAAACCATAAACTTATCTGACACAGCCATTGAATTCTACTGGTCCAAGCCTAGACGACTGCGGCGGGGGATTTTTCCATCCTCACTAGTCACCCACATTCCAGACAGACGTGCCACTAAATCCGGCAATATCCTTATCCAAAGCCAACTAAGCACAACCTGGCTGGGTGGACCAATTCCTGTGATTCCTGACGACTGGCGACTGCGGAGAGAGACGAAAATACGGCTTTGACGACTGCGGCAGACAAACCTGCAAGAAACATAAATTAAAAACAAATTAAATAAATAATAAATAAAAATTTAAAACAACGTGCAATATACAAAATTAAATAAATTTAAAACATAAACTTAACTAACATAAATGCGATCCAGTACCAGCAAAAAACTTCTGCGGCGCCTGAAAATTAAAAAAAAATAATAAATATTAACACATACATAAATCTAAATCAAAAGCTACTCACCTGGTTAAAATGATTTCTTGGCCACGGAAAAAAAGGGAAATCCTTTCTGACTGCTGCGATGGAAGAACCTGAAAAAAAAAGGAAAAAGAAAATGTGCTCTAAATTAAATTAATTGAGTAACAAATAAAATCAAAATACAAACGTAACTGCCACATAAGCGATCCAGCCCAACCAAACCCCGGCAGCGCCTGCGAAAAAAAAAAACAAATAAAAATTATAACACACATGCGCAACAAATAAATCTAAATTAAAAACTACTTTCCAGCTTCAAACGGTTCCTCTTGGCCTCCGAAGGGCTATGACGGCTGCGGTGGACGACTCTGCGAAAAATGCAAAAAGGAAAAATTAAAATTAAACGCGCTATAAACAAAATCAAAACATTAATACATGCCAATAGTGCGAGTCAGTCCCAGTAAAAACTTCAGCTGCGCCTGCACAATAACAAATTAAAAATTATAACACTTGTGCAATAAACCAATTTATATTAAAAGCCACTTACCTGCCACAAATGGTATCTTGGCTTCTGACAAGCAAGAAGATGACTTGCGATGGAAATCTGCAAGAAATAAAATAAATTATAATTAAATGCGCTATAATTAAAATCAAAACAAGAAAGAAAGCAAACTTCGGCAAGCCGAAGTTCATATACCCTTGCAGCTATCGCAAGAATTAAATATTTTTGAAAACATTAAAATTATGATTTACTTGCGTATATGTTTAAAAACATTGAAGCTATGACGATTTGCAGCTTAATTATTTGATTGTTCTTTTATATATTTTTATTATTTGTATGGGAGCTATATGCTATAGTCGTCCGATTTTGATGAAATTTTAACCATAATTCTGAAATATTTAACCATTGCAATATGTCGAAGAACTAAACAAAAAATTAAAAAACAGCAAAGTTATAATTTTTTTTCAATTATTTTTCCGATTGTTCCTATGGGAGCTATATGCTATAGTCGTCCGATTTTGATGAAATTTTAACCATAACTCTGAAATATTAAACCATTGCTTTATGTCGAAGGACAAAACAAAAAATTAAAAAACAGCAAAGTTATAATTTTTTTCAATTATTTTTCCGATTGTTCCTATGTGAGCTATATGCTATAGTCGTCCGATTTTGATGAAATTTAAACCATAATTCTGAAATATTTAACCATTGCTATATGTCGAAGAACTAAACAAAAAATTAAAAAACAGCAAAGTTATAATTTTTTTCAATTATTTTTCCGATTGTTCCTATGGGAGCTATATGCTATAGTCGTCCGATCCGGCTCGTTCCGACTTATATACTACCTGCAATAGAAAGACAACTTTTGGGAAAGTTTCATGCAGATAGCTTTAAAACTGAGAGACTAGTTTGCATATAAACGGACGGACAGACGGACAGACGGACGGACAGACGGACATGGCTAGATCGACTCTACTAGTGATGCTGATCAAGAATATATATACTTTATAGGGTCGGAAACGTCTCCTTCACTGCGTTGCAAACTTCTGACTGAAATTATAATACCCTCTGCAAGGGTATAAACATAAACACATCCGTCAACAAACATCCACTACGACTATCTCAACTTACCTGACACAAACGCATTGCGGATCCGGCCAAATTTGACTGCTGAGAGAAACACAGAAATAAAACAAAACAAAATCACCCTCACCTGACCCAAGCTTCTCTCGGCCACTAACAAAATACACTGGAATGTTTGCGGCAATTAAAACAAGCGGCTCCTGACTGCGGCGGGGGAAGGACTGCGGCGTGGGACGCGACTGCGGCGGGGGAAGTGACTGCGGCGAGGGAGGACACTGCGGCGAGAAATTAGATGGCGAGAAATGTTACTGCGGGAAAAGAAAGCACGCCTAAATTATTACCACCAATGTTTACATTAAATAACAGTGTGACCCTCAACCTAAAATCCCAAATGTAACCCAAAATATACTAACACATAATCTAGCTTTAAGCTTAAATATAGCTAAAAAAAATAGACATAATACACTAACACATAAAAATGCAATGTACATACTATTTCCCGCCATTTAATGTACCTAAATATTACAATACATGTAATCAGAGGGCAATAAATATAACGACCAGGGAATTCTGATCAACAGTCTTCTCCTGAGTGTCGTTGAGTAAACTTGAAAAGAGTTTGCGCTTTTCATTCAAGTCGAGGTGGCCGAGCAGCACGTGAGGACGTCACGGGTCACGACCACACATTTAAGTTTGAGACCGACATGATATGAAAACGCAAATACCAAGAAAACCCAAGGATCTGCACAAAACAAACAACTACACTGTAACCCCAAAACAAAAATTCATTAAAATTACGTTAACAAAAAAAAATATGTCCCTAATACCTATATCATAGTTTTATCACGGTTTTTGGTTTAACTTTTCGTGCTTATTGCACTGACGACCTGGGATGCGAATCCTTCGATTTCCTTCGAAGAGGATGTCACCGTCAACTCGGCTATCACATATTATATTTGTTAATTTGGGCGCCATATTGTTATGAAACTGCATTTTTCCCGGAGGGCAGCGCCAGCTAGCTACGGAGTCCCAGGGCGGACTGCCCTGCAGTCCAAACAATCTATACCGACTCATCGGACGTCTCACGTCGCTGACTTGAAAATTACCATCAAGATTACCAAGACAATTGGACGAAATTGGTGGCTTCGGTGTTCTCGCCACGACGCACCCACCCTTCCTTGGATGCCCCATGAATGATATTGGAGGCACACCCCATCTCCGGAGTCTATTCCTGGTAGATTAGGATCGGCTCATCTCCCTGCCCAAGGTAACTCACACAACCATTTCGGTAGTTTGTTTACATTTAATTTTGGGCAAGATTAATTATAGAATAAATTCAAATTTAATTCCTACTCGTAATATACTCTTTTCATTAGCAACACTTAAGGCCGAACTAAGACCGTCGCCTAGATGAGAAGCGGTCAAAGCGATAATGGAAGGGAAATTTTTGGACGCTTAAAATTACAAGTTTTTGGCCAAAAACGCCACGGATGTGAATTACACGGCACCAAATTGGAGGCGTTTGCCAACCGGGTCACCTAATCCTGAGGAGCTCCAAGGGAAAGGAAAGGACGTGCTAAAAGGGTGAGTACGCTAAATAAATCCCTTAATTCATTAAATTTCGCGACCCAATTTAAACGTAGTTGGACGCGCGGCTGGGGTGCGGAATGAATGCCTCTAATTCCAGATAAGATTTCACAGTGAGTGCTTTGAAACGATTCCTTGACTGCCTGATTTCACAAATTAATAATTAAACTAATTTATTTCAGAGTTCAACGTTGGTCATTGTCGCAGCTGCGACCAGAAAAAGAGAACGCTAGCGGCGAAACCCGTGTCTGCACGGAGCCAATTGGTCCGGAGGATTCACACAGCGGCTGCGCCAGAGGGCCCGGAGGCAGTGCGTCGATGGTCCCAGAGATGATCAGGTGATCAGCGCGGGTACTCGTTTCCGGAACGGACTCACCGAGGGAATCTCCGTATGTGGCTGACGCGGAAGGCTGCTGCTGGAGCTGATCGCTGCTGCTGGTGGACGACGTGGTCTTCACGACCAGGTTAGGTCCGCCTGGTAAGTGTTCACCATCCCGAATCTTCTAAATTTCCGGGACCCTTTAGATAGGGTCCCCGGCGGCTTCAATATTTAAAAAAAAACACTGTCATTTACAAGTCTAGGACTTATAAATAACTTCTCACATTGAGTTATCTAAACACTAATTACGAATTTTTGTCTTAATTTTTTTCCCGACAGTTCTCCTACGACTTCTTGCAGCAACTAAAGCAAAACCCTGACCTACACCAAAGTCGCTCGCCATTTTCCCTCCCGCTCTCCCAAAATGGGTCAGTGAACATATCCAAGGCTATTTAAACTAGTTAACGAGCGAACCGGGCTAAATTTAAATAGCTAGATCCTCTCGCGCTATCAACAGTCGGTGTCACCACCGAATCTTATCGATAGCGGGGCCTGCTGACGTATCGGTTGTTTTGGTATTTTCTCGACGGCATCAACTAAAAATGCAACACAACTTTTGAACTTTTTTACCGCGCTAGTTGGCTAAGGGGGACCCCCACATAGGGCTCCAAGAGTTACAGTCCCCTAGAAGGACTATTGGTCCGGGTGCTTGATTTAAAACAAGAAAAATATCGTTACTTGAAAAGCCTTGACATGTCGGAATATACATATTTATAATAGAAACTGGAATTGTGAGGTAAAATGTTGTTATACGAGTATCGGTACTCCCTGTTTTGCTGTAGTATTATGAGGAAGGTTTTAAAAGTACCCCTTGATCCCAGCTGAGCATCTGAATATGTTAAAGTTATAGGGGTGTGTGTTCTGCAATAAGCAATTTAAATTAGTGATAGTTGTTGAAAATTATGTTTATATTCCACTGCATAATGTTTGGGACCATGATAATTTGGGAGGAAAACTTAAAGAGAGTCAATGGGGGCTGACTCGAAGTCAGTCTCGGTCATTGATGTGTCAGATTCGGATGAGTTAGATTAAAGTTTGTTTAAAATGTTTTCGGCGTCTAACCTCAGAGAGCGGCCCTTTTCAAAGCGCTCGCTAGATGATGGGAAAAAGAGAGGGTGATGGGAGATTGTTTTTTTTCGATGTCTTCGTATGATTTTTCTTCTGGGGTATTTATTGTAAAAGTTTTCGTTGATTTTGGATTTGTACTAGAAGAGGGGGAGAGTGGCTTCGTTAGAATTTCTACCTTAAGACGATCGATGTGTTGAAGATTTTTCAGGCTTAGCTTCAATCCAGAACTGGATTGCTGCGGGTGTTCCCCAAGGCAGTGTACTTGGACCCATTTTGTTTACAATTTATGCAGCTGACATGCAACTCCCAAGCTCTATTGTTTCAACCCTTTTTCGGGAACAGGTTGACCATAAAACTATGCCACTTTTAACATACGCGGATGGTACTATAATAATATATGCAGATAAAGCAGCGCACATAGCCATTAACACGAATTCCACCTATCTCTCAGCAATTATAAAAGGGCCGGCAAACTGGGGTATCATTCATAAACCGCTACCTTTGTTTGATCGTGGACAAAAGACTGAAGCTTCACCATCATACCACCCAACATGATAATAGAGTTCATGTTTCCGCCCATGGACTTAACTGGACCTTAGGAAAACAAAGCAAGCTTCCTGTTACTAGTAAAGCACTTCTGTATAAGCAACTGATCGCGCCTTTTTGGTATTATGCACTTCCTGGCTGGGGCTCCACAGAATTCAATAAAATTGAAGTTTCCCAAAATAAAATTCTGCGATGGGTATTACAAGCTGGACGGTACACAAGAAACCAGGATATTCGTAGTTCTTATAATGTAAAATCGGCTCAGGAGGTTTTGACGATGTAGTGGCAGTCTCCCAAATTCACTCTACCTACATCCGAACACAGAAGAGTGAAGGTACTAAGACTAAACTACTCCTTCCATTTCATCGAAACATGCCCTATTCAACGGGAAGTACACCAATTATACTGGGAGAAAGACCAGACAAACTACGGAAAATTTCAAAGTATCTTGAATGGAGAAATTTGTCCGATCCTTATTGGACACCTAAACGAGGCGCACAAATACCGGTTTGAAATCATGGTTGAATCTCAATATATAGGCGCTTTGCTTTTGAACGATCCAGTAATAAACCATGCTAAAAAATACTTTTTTTTAATAAAAATGTCTACAGTTTAGGAAATTATTTTGTAGTTTTCTGATTTCCCCAAATATTTTTATTAAATAAAATATAAACTACTTATTTTGCCTAGTTTATCTACTCTTGTGAATTGTAGAATCCTGCTTGGATTCTATGCTCAATATTGTCGGAGGTGGTATAACATATACTCCATAGATTTGGTAAGTCACTTTACTTTTAATATGCCTTTTAGACCAACCCTTTTGAGTTATTTTTAATAAATATAATAATTTATATAATCAAATTTATATATCAACTTCTATCCCTGTTTTAAAAACTACAATTTTAACATATTTGCACCGTACTTGGTTTTAGTTTTTTTTTCATAAAAATCTCTATATTAAGTTATATTTGTTTTCTTCGCGAACTTGATTAATTGCCCACGATGCTAAAAGCGCTTGTGCGTAACAAACTCGTGCTTGGTTTCGTTGGGCCACATGACAATACAATATAAATTCCATAAATATAAATGATACAATTTGTATTATGACTCAATTTTATTCAAACTACTTTCATATACATAAATCTTTAAAAAGTTTAAAGGTAGAAAAGTTTTTCCAAAAGTGTATCTGCCACATCTCGTTGAATACTTTGTCCAATTAAATAGGCCAATTTATGAGCATACTGGAAAAAAATAATAGTAACTAGTTAAATAAAATAAAATGTTGAACTAAAACTAAAGCCATAATAGTCGAGCTCCCCGACTATACTTTATTTATTGATTTAAACTGTAACAAGTTGACAGAGTTTGCTTAGGCATAGGTGATCAATTTTGGCCCTACTCGTAGAGTAGAAGAGTATGTAACGGGTAGAAGAAGCGGTAACGATCCAAGAAAGTATGTATATTCTTGATAGCTACATATGTCCGTATGCAAATTAAATTATTGCTTAGTAAATTTAAAAAATATATATATTTTTTATTTTTCATTTCTTATTCACTAGTTTACACAATTGTTATTAGTTCTGAACTTAATGTACACTGCTCGCGATATTCAAGTTGTCGACCAATCAATTCGAATTCAAAAACGGTCTGTCTGACTTTAGTTCAGTAATCAAACAACAAACCTCGGCTTAAGAGATTTATCTCAAAAATCTGATTAAGAGAGTCATCCAAGAGAGTCGGAAAATAGGATGATGAAATTTGTCAATTAAATTTGAAATTGAAATTTTGCAGAATTGAAATTCTGCCGGTAATCGATGTTTACGTTAGCGGACTTGGTGATCCCTTTTTGGGACACTGGTGTTTACAATATAGGCTTAGATGTTTACAGAATCCTTTTGAAGCGTAGAGTGTGAAACTACTGATCTGGGTAAGAATCGATTGGAGGCTTTGTTCAAAGAATAGAAAAGAAGCTCTTGGCTCAAAGTTGTTTATAAATTGGGCAAGGGCCCCTAAGTAATGTGTCATATAA